TAATGAAGGTGAGCAGTTCACAAATAGACTGATCATGTCAATTATTCCGAGGCAAGTTAGACAGGCATGTATGTGATTTGCACTTAAAATTTATCGGCGATCAATTCTGCTGAAAGAACACACCGGCAGCAATCTGGATCTGCAAATGATCTCAGAACTAAACTGAGAGAAAAGGGTTCAATTCGCGGTGTACGTTATTCGCAGTCCATCATCTGACCAGTTCCAGTACTGACCCAAAGTCCACGAGGGAGCGAGCTGGTGAGAGCTGCAAATTGCCTAGCTACAGAAAGTTCCAACAGGTGCAGTTCTTCCGCGGTGGGAAAGATGCCTAACTCGGGTAGCGACTCGGAACATGCTCAGGGCGGGGTCATGCTTCCTGCTTGGAAGGAGAAGAAAATATTTTTCACACACCCAGCAGCACCCGCAGCCTCTGTGCGCTGTGTGCATCTCAGAAATAAACACACGTTCCGTTTACTGAGCTCACGCCAGCCCCATTCGTCACAGGGCTCTGCCCGTTTGTGCCAGTCTGCCAATAAGGAGACCGCAACATTACGCAACACTCGTTTGAAATCAGGGCAGGGACTCCTGTTGACTTCAGTGCATCCAAACTTGGCATGGTTTACGGAGGAGCGGTTGGTACTCTGCTTAGCTAAGAGTTAGAATAAGCCCTTGTTCTGGACTCTGAATGTGACACGGTGCACAGGGAGGAACCGACTCAGAACTGCTACCTCTTGGGCAGAAGGGGTGTCATTTGCTGCACCCTTTAACAGGGTGTAACACGCTTCCCTCCCCGCTGTGAGAGCACAGTCAAGCTTTGCCCTCGCCCAGTGACTCTTCATCCCCCCGTGTTTTCCCCTCGGGACCCACGGTCCGGAGACCTCAACATACAAGGGGTAGGAAGTTTGCTTTGCCGCCTTGGAGCCATACAAAATATAGCCTTAAATAACGACATTTTCCTTTATTGTTTTCCTTGCCCGGAAGTTTTCAAAAACGCCCAAGTGACTTAGAAACCTAAGCTACTTTTCAAAATAGGCTCCTAAGTCACTTTGCAGCATTTTGAACACTTCAGCCAGAAGGTGTGCTTCTCGAAGACCTGGTCTACCCTAGGTCTTTATTTTGAAATAACCCCCTTTAGGTCGAATTAGTAAGCGAAGCGCCCACACGATCAAGTCCATTACTTCGAAATAACGTGCCGTAGATTTTGTAATCGGTACTCTTGCTTTCCTCGAGGAATAACGCGAAGGTCAAAATAGTTATTTCGAAATAGTGCTAGTGTGGCTGCTCCCCTGCTGCTATTTCGAAATAATTATTCCCCAGAGTCATTCATAGTAATTACTCCCCAGTGCTTCCTGGGGCTCTAAATTGAGGTGTTGACGGAGACTGCCTCGGACTCATTTCGAGGCTTCCTCATAGTGAGGACACGCTAGTTTGATTTTGGTGTTTCAGGAGTTATTAAATCAATGTTAGTTATTTCAAAAGAGTTTCCTGGTGTAGACGTGCCCCCAGTGATTGAATCCCGTGTGACAATACATGTTCAGAGATCCAGCTAGGACCCCCGAGTTCCTGATCTGTGGGATGCTGGTTTTCCTACATCCCAGGAGAGAGCCCTCTCCACTAGGCTATTCTAACCTCCCTTGCAAAAAGAAAAAAAAATGGTTTTTGGTTTCATCTGGTGGTGGAACAGCAATTTATTTGCAATCTCAGTTTTTGGGACAGGAAAGGCATCTCCTGCCTACCTCATGTTCATTGCTCATTTTAGCTATTCTACATACACAGTGCTGAGTGGGTCACTTGAGTCACACGGTATCATCTCTGCTTCTTGATTGGAAGGCTAAGCCATTTTAAAGAGAACAAATAACCAGCAATTAGTTAACTCACCTGCTAGTGCAAGTTTTGGGGCTTAATAACTTTATCACAAAGAGTGATGCCATATGATTTGCTAAGTGGATTTCTACCTCCTTGGTTACTATTTAGACACAGGCCATGCTGGGAATATTAACCTCTACTAATTGAGACAGGGATGACATGCTTTCCCCGACCACATTCAAATCACATACTTGGTTTTTTGCTCAATAGCCTCGCTTCCCCTCCAGATGTTTATTCATTTCGCTGAAGTGGAGAGCGGCTGTTATCTTTCACAAGTCATCTGCTAGGCCGTTCAGCACACCACATGACCTGACTGTTTAAGATTGTGTCTTCTAAGATAAACTCTCCCGCTGCTGAAGTATCCAAGTCATTTCCTTTGTCTTTAGCGTGGCTTATTTCCATAGGGGGAAAAGAGTGCGTCCTGCAATCTGCATCTCAGCAAAAGTGACATTTACTCCATGCAGTGGGGTGGACTGGCCGCCCACTGAGCTGGAGGCAGAGGAACCCCTCCGGGAGCCATTTTGGGCACAGCCTAGCCCCGCCCACTCACCTGACAGGAAGCTAAGGGGCATGGCTAGGACTATAAGAACTCTGCCAGGGAGCTCAGTCAGGGCCCAGTCTCTGAGGGAGACAGAGGCCTGCCCAGAGCTCCTGGCTGACGAGGCTGAGACCTGGTCTGGGCCTCCCACAGCCACCTTCCGTAAGGCCGGCGAAGATCTCCTTGCCTGGGCCGCCGAGGCCTGGCCAGGCCAGCCAGCAGAGCTACCCTCTGACCCAGAGGAACCAGAGGCCCTGCTGGTGCCTGGAGATCCCAAGGACTTGCCGGAGCTGGAGGTCTGGCTTGAGCCCCGGTGCCTACTGACCCCTAGGGACCCTGAGGACCTGCCGGAGCTGGAGGACCCACTGGAGCTGGAGGTCCTGCCCGGGCCCGCTGCCTGCTGGCACCCAGGGACCCTGAGGACTTGCCGGAGCCGGAGGGCCGGCTTGAACCCCAATGTCTTCCTGAACCCTGAGACCTTGAGAACCAGCTGGACACTGCAGAGCTCCGACCTGCCAAGGACTGGATTGGGCCGCCTCGAGCCTGCTGGGATGACACCGCCCTCGACTCCCTCACTGACCGGCTGGAGACACAGGTACCCGCGGAGGGGGAGACGGGAAGTGGCCCAGGGGGTAGCACGGGCTGATAGGCCAGCACGTTGCGGCCGCCCACTGATCCGGAGGCGGAGGAACCTCTCTGGGAGGCCTACCAGCCTACACTCCAAATGCATCTTCCCTGTGTTGTGCTTTGGGAGTGGTTACTCCTGTACACCAGTGAGACCCTACTGCACTGGAATTTCAGCTGTGTCTACACTGCAGGGGTTTTGCACAAGATGCTTTTTGCAGAAAAGATCTTCCGCAAAAACTTCTTGTGCAAGAGCGCGTCCACATCTCAAAAGCGCGTCGCCAACACCGTGTGCTTTTGCGCAAGAGAGTGAGAGTGAATGGCCATCAGAGCACCTGTCCTTTTTCTGATAGGCTCTTTTTGCGCAAGAAACCCCTGCGGAGCGCCCACACCTGCCTTTTTGCACCAGAGCTGTAGCGCAAAAAGGAGCTATTCCTCGAGAGGAGAGGAATAACTCTACCGGCAAAAGCCCTCTGTCCTGTCCATTTACTGTATTTTTTTTTTTGCACAAAACCACGCTTGAGGTGTGGACGCTCCGCTGGCTTTTGCGCAAAAACCTTGTAGAGTAGAGAAGAGAAAAACCACCCAGCAGGGGCATAGCCCAATTATTTGTGCTTTATTGGGAACCACGCTTCAGTGCCTAGGGCTTTGCTGTGGCCGTCTAGATTTGTTTGTCCTAATTTTAGCCATGATAGGGGCTCATGTACGAAGCCATTTTGAGGCCGTCGCTTCAGATACAATCAACATGTTGCTAGACAGCCTTTTCTTTCCCCAACAGAAAGGGACAACAGAGCCGTGTTATGACGTCGGCAGGGGACAGGGCTCTCACACTCAGAAGGAACGAATTGTTTCACCGAGAATTCATTAACAAGGCTGGCATCTTCACCTGAGCCATAGGGAATGTTGAAGCCCTTTTTCCACTGATTTCTGCCATAAGCTGCTGGCAAGGCTGGTAAACAGAAACTGTAACTATGTACGCCTTCCCCACCTCTTCCTCTCAGAGAACACGTCGGCCTTGCATGTAAAAAACAACTCAGACAACAGACCCCCTTCATAGAAAATACTTAACAAGCTCAGTCAACTCCACACACACCATATGGTTCGGGAGAGCCTAGTTACGCCCCAGGGAGGCTATTCACCCATTAAAAGGTCCAGTTTCAGCAACTCAATGCATCCTATAGCCCATGAGACACATAGCCGCCTTCTCCCCTCTTTGTGCCAGACATCTGAACAGAAACACCCAGCAACAGTGCCCAGTCCCACCAGAAGTAATTAAAAAGTAATGAACGCGATCGCCATGAACTGGGCCCTTTAAATACACGTGTGCTGCTTTAAATAAAGCAGCGGCAGAAGGAGTGAGGGCCGCATTTGAAATGCTTCTCCTTCCCATTTAAAATGCCTCACTCTGAAAGGAAGACTCTGACACCCTCACCCTAATGAGTACCTTTAGATCTCATTCATTGCCCTGCTGCTTTGCTAGACAGGTGGTGCTGAAAAGGTCCGAGGTCCTGAACCATAACAAACTTTACAAAATAGGAGTAAAGTTTTGAACAGTGCCTTGAACTCGCAAAGGCATTTAGGGACCTAATTCCCATTGATTTCAATGGGGGTTAGGTACCTAAATACCTTTGTGGCTTTGGGCTGAAGTCACTTAGGTCATGTCTCCATGTAGTGGAGGATCGACACTCTGGTGATCGATCTTCTGGGGTTCAATTTAGCAAGTCTAGTAAAGACCTGCTAAATCAAATGCTGAGGGAGGCTCTGGTTGGCACTGGTACTCCTCGCTGTTGCAGAGTAAGGGAAGTCGATGGGAGCATTTCTCCTGTTGACCTCCCACTGTGGGGACAGCACCAAGATCGGTTTAAGGTATGTCGACTCTAGCTATGTTATTTACATAGCTGGAGTTGCGTACCTTAAGCTGACCTGCTGGGGGCAGTGTAGACCTGGCCTTAGGCTTGGTCTACACTTAAAACTTACGCCAGCACAGCTATGCCAGTCAGGGGTGTGAAAAAAACCAGCATAGCTATTTGGTGGCCATACCACCATAGTGACGGAAAAGTACACCTGTTAGCTCAGTTAAAGTCATTCAGGGAGATGGTGTTCCTGCCTTAGCAGAAAAACCCCTTCCGTTGGCATACACTGTCTCTACATTAGAGGGCCATATTGGTACAGGTATGTCGGCACAGGCTCTGTAGTGTAGGCGTCGCCTTAGGAAAGGAAGACCCATTTTTTAAAATTAACTTAGGTTTCTAAGTCCTAGTGACTTACAATAAAACTTAAGCTCTTACAGGTCAGATTTGTAGAGGTATTTAAGCACCTAACTCCCACTGAAATAGGGAATAATAAAAATGTTTTGCATTGGATCCAGATATTGGAAAGTCTATTGCTGTTTGCCTTGTAACAGCTCTTCTCTCCCCAAAGCTATGTGCAAATGTAACCAGTGTCAAGGGGTTGAGAATGCATGTGGAGAAAATAAGAGAGCTTGAAATCTACCATGCAAAATTAATTGCTTTTAGTGTTTTTATTATCTCTTCCTCTGAACGTTGCTTTGTCATCACAAAGCAGCCTGGTCCTTGCACATTATCAAGCATGTCAGTGATATTAACACACCAAACAATCTTTGGTTTCACTGTAATGATCTGACTTTCATTGTTGTGCACAGTCACAAGCATTTTACCATCTAGGCTGGTCATGGATTCCTTAGCACTTCTGCTGAAAATTTTAGCCATAAGTTTAACCATCAATTGACAATGGGACTTTCATTTCTAGGTGCCTTACTCTCTTTTGGAAATAAGGCTTAGGAGCATTAATCAGGCATGATAATGCTGGAACACAGAAATTCTTCAATATTTTGACAAATCTGGGATTTAAGTGCTTATGTCACTTTTGAAAGTGTTACTCCAGAACTAAGACTTTTCAGATTGCATCCAGAAACAATGAGGACCCCTCTGCAAAACACAGGGATGATGATAAAAAAAACCTCCCACTTAGGGAGTTTTGCCCTGAGGTGTCTATCAATCCTTGGTTAACATTTTCACCAGAAGTGCTAATCAATGCATGAAAACAATTCATTTCACCTGGTAGATTGCAAGCTCTTTGATTTTCTCCTGGTGCATGTGTAACCCCACACCTACAGGGGGTGGTTCATAGTCTGATGGAATGGCACTTAGACCACTAACGGAGAGAAGATCGAGTCTGCTCTCCAGCCTTAGAAAAGAAAAGAAGAAGCCCTAAGAAGGCAGGCAACAGTAGATTTTTCCAGTCACTAGACTCCCCAGAAAACGTTCCTAGTGAAATCACTGAAGTGTTGTGATGTTGTCAGCCCAAGGACGTGTGAAGATAAGAAGATCTGAGGGGCCTGGAGCCAGAGACAGAGGGAAGAGCAGGAAAGTCCTGCAGCTCTTCTTTACAAAACGTCTAGATTGGCCTCTGCCCCTCCTCTCCACGTGGACTCTCCGAAGGAGGAGGAGTGGGAGAGAGAAAGCTAAGGGGCGCAATCTCATGCCATTGAGATCCCGCGCTTCATTAGCATGTTCCTGGCCGGTCGCCATTTTAGAAGCTGACTAGCCCGCAGTAACTGCCCACGTCTACTCGCGGCAGTGAAACAGGATTCTGAATTAAAGCCCTAACTTGAATTAGCTGGTAAACCTCATTGCAGGAGGAATAACAGCTAATTCGATTTAGGGCTTTAATTCGGAATCCCGTTTCACTGCGGGACCATGCTAATGGAGTGCGGGATATTTAAATCCCACGCTTCATTTGCAATTTTGGTCGCCTTCATTAGCCTCACTAGATCGAACTAGGGGGCTAGTGTAGACATACCGTATGGAAGATTTGGGCCATAGCTATGGTGGGGATAAGGGTGGTATAAGACCCTTTCTAGAACAGAATAGGCTGGCTGCCCCCTGCTTCTGAGGCAGTATCTTGGGCCTCGGCGTTTATTATCCCAGTTTACAGTTGTCATTGATTTAACCTCCATCATCTCATCAACAAGCGCTTACTAGTCTCCTCCACACTGATGTCAGTGGGAACCGATGCAACCCCTCAGGGTCTGAGCCCCTCACACCTTTCTCCAGATTCACCCCCTGCTCCTCCAGCCCTCTTACTGCTCCTTGAGGAAGGCTTAGTTCCCCTCTGTCCATGAAGAATAGCTTCTTTTGTATTTAACTGGATTGAGTTGGCATTGGGCCTGCTTTGAGTAGGGGGTTGGACTACTCCTGAGGTCTCTTCTGGCTCTGTGACTTGATGGTTCTATGATTAATGTCTGGGTTTAGAGGAAGGGCTAGGTTAAGGGTCAGGCAGAAGACGATACGGGCATGCACCGGGCGTTCTGAAGTCTGCACTACAGCCGTTGTTTGTTCTGGATTGAGATACAAGACTTTCCTGTAGGAATTCCTCCAGCTTCCTGGGGTGCAGCCATTTAACCCCGCAGAAGGAAGTAAAAAAAGCATAGTCGAGGTCTGAGAGTATGTACCGGGATGGTGAGGTGCAGTGTTAGATGTGAGAAGGAATTACACAGAAAAGGAAACCAGCTGGGAACACTCCATTCACTAGGTGTGTGAGATAGAGGAGAGGAAGAGCTTATTACTGACTGTGGCAATGTACTTATCACGGACAAATTATTAGGCCAGACTCTTCCAGACTTCTTACCATTCAATCCTTGTATTTGCCTCAAAGAGTTACCAAAAACCCCTCAAGTGTCTCTGATTTGAATGTGTCGGGCAGCGAAGAGCCTAATTAATGACCCTTGGTCTTGGGACCAACACAAGGTCCCTGGAACATAGTCCTGGTGCACAGAGAGCCACCAGGGGCGTTTCTGACTCTAGTTCGGTATGGTAGTCCGGGTTTCCAAGTGAAAACGACTGCAGATGTTTGGCAGACTCACGTCTGTTTCTCTTGAAATAAGCAAACCGTAGGTTCCCCAAGGACAAGCTATGCCTCCCACACGCAGACCCCAGCTCCATTGTACCGAGTCTGGCGCACAGACTCCAGTGGCACAAAGATCTCCGCACAACGCCTAGCAGCAGCTGTTATAATAAAGCCACATACTGTCGACGCAAGCCTCTGAAGACGTATAGATTGATGGTCCAGAGCTCTGTGAATGGTGAATTCTCCCAGGGCCATTTTTTATTTGCTCAGTTGGATTAAAAAAGGGATGACATTTTGAGGAGCTGTGTGTGAAAATACAGATTTACGGCCTACTCCCAAATCCATTCAGAGTGGCGCCCATTTACTTCAATGGGCTTTGGAGCAGGTTCATTTCTTCTACGTCTATTGGGGCACATCCTCCTCTTCATCCATCTTGCTCTGGGGAAGCAGCCGGGCTGGTCATAGGTTATGGAACTTTCCAGTCACAGAAGGGAGCAACATGGGGGCTGCTCTAAGGTACACCAATTGGTACGCTTCCTGAAGGGACCATCTACTTGGTGGTGATTGTTGGAGTACATACCTAAAAATCCACTCCGACCTGTCCCTATCTCTGGGCCATTTGATTAAAAAACAATAGTCAGTCAAATAATGATGCAAAATCAAGTCAAGAAATCCAGACCGTGGCAGGGCCTACATCTCAAGAATTGCCTGGAACAAAACAGGACCAATATTTCAATTCATGCCATGTTCTCTTCACCCTCGCTTGGGCGGGGGTGACCGGAAGGGAACACTGCCTTTGAGGTCAGGGTGTACCCTACATTTTTATAACGACTTTATAATCTTTTCAGCCTTGCTCTCTTTCCTGATATGCCTTCCTGTTGTTTATTTACTACCACACAACAAGCAGATGGTTCCAATGAGCAGGACGGAGCGATGCGTAGAGCTTTTATTTCTTCCTGAGTGCATACAGATGATTTCAGAACGCACTAATGTGTATCAGAAATTCACAATATCGCCTCTCAGGCTGATTTTTAAGTTGCCGTCATGCCGCCCAGACCTTGTGCTCTGCGAAGTCATTCCAGAGTGACGCAGACTCTTTTCTAGATTTGATGAGCCTCAGTCATTTTGAGCCCTCGGCAAATTTTGCCACCTCCTTTGTTGTCTTTTTTCCATGTGATTCATAGATATTTGACACAGTAGCAGCTGTCTGTGCAAAGACCTTGATCTGACCCCTCATAACCAGAATAGCTGAAAAAGTATAGTCATTAATACAATAATAATAATGACGATAATAATATTTAATAATGCCTAGCACATTCCATTACAGCAGGGATGGGGAACTTCAGATGCAGTCCCTGGCTTGCCTCGATCGGGCCCCTGAGGTTCAGGGCTCCCCCCCCTTCATGGGGAACCTGTGATGGCATTCCATCCCCCCTCCACTAACCCACCATGGTGTTGGAGCACACAAAATCTATGAGGCTGGGTCCCCCTAGGCTTTGGTGTGCAAGGGGAAGGAGAGGAAAGTGTGTTTCTCCTTCTCAGTTGGGGGCCACGTCAGTTTTTGGTGTGCGGCCTTCAACTGATTTTTCTGTGGGTCAGTGGCCCCTGACCCCCCAAAAAGTTCCCTGCCCCTTCATTAGATGATCTCAAAGCACTTTCCCCCAAATTTTACAGATGGGGAAACTGAGGCACAGAGAGGCACAACGGTATGGGTATTCACCTGTAGAGCTGGGAAGGGGACCCACCTATTCGGAGTTCAGCGGTGTATACTTCAAGCCACACTACCACCCTTTAGTTAGTGGATTTCATTTTCACACTCCGTCTCTGAGCTAGGAGAGCATGGTCATAGTATAAATGGGGTACAGACACCTGGTGGTGCAAGCAATGGATGGGTGAACTGGGACTTCAACCCTTTGCCTTTGTCTGCTCAACTAGACTTCCTATCTTGCTAAAGGCAAGCTCGACAGTCGGGCACTCTCTTTAGCGGGTCCTCAGGCTACGTCTACACTGCGAGTTTTCTCCACCAAAGAATATGCAAACGAGGGACTCATTTGTATGAGTCACAATCTCATTTGCATATTTGCTGCTGATCTGTTTTTGCACTGGGGTTTTTATCCCAAACACAAGCAGTGTGGATGTTTTCTTTTTGCACAAAACCCTCTTTTTTCCGCAAGTTCGGTGAACCTCCTTTTTGTGGGCATAAGGATCTTGCAGAAAAAGGGGTTTTTGCGCAAAACGAAAACGTCCACACTGGTGGTTTTTTACGGATTAAAGGCTACACTGAAAGGTGATAAATGTATAGAGATCTGCCAACAAGAACGGTTGGTGATCCTAACCAGTGTGGTAAATAATTATTGTAGAGGCTAGGTGTTTTTTGTGTTATCTGCAGAGCTTACGCCAGACCACTCAGCAACACACTGGTTTGGGTCCTGATTCAGAGGTCACAGGTGTCAAAGGGAGTCTGTCATTGACTCGGATGGATTTGGCTTAGGGTTTTCATGCATATGATCATTCGTGGCTAGGCCCAGAATTATAACAAATTCTTTGAATTTGCCATCAAAGATTATGGCCAGAATTTAGGAAGTTGGCCAGAGATTTTTGGATACTCAACTTCAGATGCCACCTTGAACTACTTCGACCTCCCACCGGACAGATACAGACGAAGTCCACAGCCATTTTTGAAAACTTTGGCATACACATCTTCCACAGATATCTCCTATGCTGGGGCTTTTAATGGGAGAAAGCGTTGCACGGTTAGTGGGAATGTTCTGATTCCTGTTATAAACAGTGTATTTACTTTCCAATGAAATCTGCTGTACACACACCCCAAAGCAGGGAAACGGGAAACAGGATTAAACATTATTGACCTAGGCAAGAGGCGTTTGTTCCGTGTGATTCGAGCTGACCGGAACACTAACAAAGATGTACAACAGGAGTCTTTTCACTTGATTTTGTTACTTGCATAAACTCCAGTGTCCTGTTACTGCTGGCCAAAGAAGGCCACAGGTACAGATTACAGTTGCCTCCATGCCCGGGTACCACATTCTGCTGGTTTCCATTCTCGTAGTTTTTTCCCTATTAGTACTGCAGCCAAAGTGCTGCTATGGATCAATCGGCACGCCCTGCAAATGTTAGATATGCAAATACAGTTAGCAACAGTTCCCTATTTCGGGAGCCATCTTGGTTACAACAGTTTTGAGACCCCTGAAGATGAAGGAGACCACTCCTGCGGCCCACTTGCCAGCCTCGCTGCCCATCACTAGATTAAGCACACGATTTGCTATGCATAAAATCACTCTGCTTAGCATCATTACCGCCTTATTTTTTTACTTACTCATCTGAGGTTATCCCTCGGTTTATCTTAGGTGCTAAAGCTGGCTGCAAATTTTCTGACAGAATGTTTTCCCCCAATTTGTTGAATGCAAAATGTTTTGCAGGAGCAGGTGGATTGAGATGGGTTTTTTTATTTTTAAAAAGTGACACAAAGCGCTTCCCAGAATGCCTGCCTGTTCTGCGTCGGCATTTTCCGAGTGGCCATTGTGAGTTTTCATTTTGAAAGGACAGTTTATTCTGACATGGATTTTGTATTGCAAATGTTTTTAAAAATGTAACACAAATGTAAAGATCAACCCCCAAATGATGTTCCCTAGCTCCCCATTTTTTATTTTGCAGGAAATGTTTGTCGGTTGAGGAGAGCAGGGGATGTGAAGAGGAGCAGGACAAAGGAGGGAATCATATTTGGGAGGCAGACAGTATTTTGAATCACGCCCCTGGTTGCAGTTGTATTTTTTGCACCATGTAATCATAGAATCATAGAACCTTAGAACTGGAAGGGTCTTTGAGAGCCATCAAGTCCAGTCCCCTGCCCTCGCAGCAAGACCAACCACCATCTAGATTTGTGTTTCTTAAACTTTTTAAGACTGAGGAACACCAAACAATAATTTTTTTTATGAGGAACATCATGGATTTTTGGTTGAGCAAAAAAAAAAAAAAAGTTTGCCTGTCCCTTTAAGGGTGGCCATTTTGAACTCTGTTTTTCTCCATGGCACACCTCATGAACACAGTTTTAGAAACACTGATCATCCCTGATAGATGCCTATCTAACCTGTTCTTAAGTATCTCCAGTGATGGAGATTCTGGGATGCATTAACAAGGAGTGTTGTGAGCAAGACATGAGAATTTTTCTGTTCTACTCTGTGCTGATTAGGCCTCAGCTGGAGTATTGTGTCCAGTTCTGGGCCCCACATTTCAAGGAAGATGGGATGGGAAAGACAGAACAGGGTGTGCCTTCTCCTACCATATTCACATGCAATATTTGCTCTTTTCTTGTCTACATGTCCTTCCCCTGCCACATGCTTCAGCCTTTCCCCTGCACCGTGCCCCTATTGTTTTAAGCCCAAGTACAGTCCCGAATAGTGGGCGGAAATGTCAGTGAAGTATTTGCATGCGGGGCGACACACACAACTTGGAGAGAGACGGAACCAAGAGAGGCTTTCGAAAATATTTTCCAGATCATTTCCTAACTGGGAGAAACAAAAATACTTGAGAAGAAAGCGATGGCAAATCCTTGGGAGCTAATGAAAAACATATATTTCAAGCAAAATTATAATGCAGCCTGCAATCCTGCTCTAGAGTGTAAACCCTTTGTATTAGGGGAAGTAAATAATAAAAAAAGAACAGTTTTCTTGAGGTGACAGGGCAAAACACAGAGAAAATCCGACTTTTCTAGTTCCGTCCACCGTGCAGAATCCAGGTTAGTTGTTGTCCTCTTGCTGACAGACAGACGGACAAGAAGAACAGTCTTTCCTGCCTCTAATTTCAGTGATTTGTCACTGGCTGACCTCACTGCCAGCATCCATCTTGTCTTCCAGAAATCCAAGCCCTGTCCGCTTTGAGGGGAAAGCCACAGATCCAGCAGGATGCACAATCTTTGTGGAGGAGGAGAGAGATGGTTCTGAGTACCCCTCAGATGTGTTCTGAGTATGTTCAGCTCCACCTACTAGGGACGAGTTGCGTAGGTAGGTGATGGGCTGGAAGGCAGCTGGGACTTAATAAGCAAAGTCCTCAGTGGTGGATTTCATACTCCGAGTGACCCAAGCTGTAGGAAGGGTCTCCGGAGTCTCCCCGTTCCGTGACAGGTATGGGAGCGCTTTCTGTGTGTCTGTAGCGGAGTCACCAGCCCCGTCCCCTTTAACACCAAAGTCGGGTCCCTTCCATGCAGGCCCAGCGGCCTAGTCCTTTCTGGGATCCCCTCATCGTCTGGGATCTGGGAGGAAGGGGTGGGGAACCCGGGCCCTCCCTCTCCACCGGGCCTCAACCCAGGGCCCTATCAGTGGCGGGTGGCTCCCACCGCTGGCTCAGCGGGGAGTTCTCCCCGAAACTCGCTGAGCCCGCTGGGTCCTTTCCTGGCCCCTGCCCTGGGTTGCTTCCTACCCCCTCGCCCGGTCCGCCAGTGTGGTCCCACCTGTGGATGCGGATATGGCGACAGCGACAACCTTGGCAGGCATGGCTTGGGAGTCCTCAATGGCTGGGGCAGCGACGGCTTCTTGGGGGGCTGCACCGCGCAGCCGGCGTTGCGGTCTGGCCTCTGGTTCCAGCTGCAATGGCTGTGGCTCCGGTGTCTGGAGAGGCGCTCCTTCCCCTCCCGTGGCCAGCTCCAACTGAGCAGCTCGGCAGCTTTTTATACCTGGGCTGCACTCTGAGCATGCCCAGCAGGGCTGCGGGGGAGGGGCGTTTTCTACCCAATAGGCGGGCTTTCCGCCCCCAGGTTCAGTGCGGGGCTGGGCAGCCCCGTCACAGTGTCTCTATGGAAATGGTTATAGGAAAGGTGTCAGTCGATGACTGAGGGTAGCCATGGAAACAGGGCCTCCTGTCAGCCTGTATACCCCTTTACAGATGACTCTTGGGACAGTGCCTCCATAAGGAGAAAAGCGTAGGGGCCTCTCTCACCCATTGGTGGAGGTGGCATTGCCATGTGGGTGAGGGGATCCCAAAGTGGGGCTTTCTGGAAGCATCCTACCCTCTCCAGGGCGATGGCGCCCCATCAGGGCGGCCATCTTAGGGGGTACATTACACGGCGGAGCTTCATTTGCGTGGGTTGCCACAGAGGCCCCTCAGCTGCAATTACAACTTTTCATACAAAAACAAAACAAAAAAAAGAATAAACATCCGTTCTTTACAAACAATGCCATTATTGTATGGAAACTCAATTTACCGTTGCTAAGGAATAACAAGTAACATTCCTTCCTTTTGGCACAGAACCCCTGCTAAACTCACAAGGATGAGTCCCTCCTGCCCGACACACGCACGATGCCCAACGGCTTCTGTGCCGGCATGGGAGGGAAGAATCTGACCCCCGCTGCGTTGAATTAAGCTGAAATAAGGCACGAAGCATTGCTTTGCAATCACACATGCAAATGTCACCGCTAAATCCTAAATGGGTGGGATTTGCAAAAGGGTTGGCCTAGCTCTACCACATGGATGGGTTTTTTTAAAGGGCCCAATGCTGGAGTCCTTACTCCAGAAAGAAGAAAAGTCCTATAGGTGCAATGCCTTCAAATGTCATTGTTTCCTGCTGTATAGTTGTTGGGCCCAGGATATTAGAGAGACAAGATGGGTAAAGCTTGTCTCTCTCCCCAACAGAAGTTGGACCAGATATTACCTCACCCACTTTGTTTTTCGGATTTCGTGGAAAGTTAAGGTTTAAGATAGATGGTGAAGTATCCTTGGAAACGTGAGCCTTGAGAACAAGTTGTGGGCTTGAAAAAGGGCATGCTTCCCAACCTTCTGCTTGGTCATGACTTACGGTTTTCTCTTCTCCAAGAAGGGATTTTTCTTCTCCAAGGACAGGACCAGCTGATACTGAGATGACTTGTTGGAAACCTGGGTTCGTAAACAAGTCGCTGGGTTCAACCAGCCACGTTCTTTCGGGGATTCCTGACACAGAAATAGCTGATGTGAACATAAGAACATAAGAACGGCCGTACTGAGTCAGACCAAATGTCCATCTAACCCAGTATCCTGTCTGCCAACAGTGGCCAGCTCCAGGTGCCCCAGAGAGGGTGGACCAAAGACAATGATCAAGCGATTTGTCTCCTGCCATCCCTCTCCAGCCTCTGCCAAACAGAGGCCAAGGACACCATTTCTATCCCTTGGCTAATAGCCTGTTATGGACCTAACCTCCATGAAATTATCTAGCTTCTCTTTAAACTCTGTTATAGTCCTAGCCTTCACAACCTCCTCTGGCAAGGAGTTCCACAGGTTGACTACACGCTGTGTGAAGAAGAACTTTCTTTTATTAGTTTTAAGCCTGCTACCCATTAACATCATTTGGTGTCCTTCATTTGATGTGTTTGCAGCGGAAGGCAGGAAAAATATGTAGACCAAGAGAGATGCTGGTTCTCTGGCTGAGAGCCTTTACCCCACAAGCAGCACTACTGACCAGTAGGCCACAGCAGACTGGTCTCGTGGGGAACAGCAGGGGACCATGGAATGTGCTGGAAGGAAGCGGGTGATTCCTGAGGGAAGGCTGAAGACAAGGAGTAGCCTGAAGGCAGGGGAGCAATGGATGAGCTGACCTACTGACACCTCCAGGGCTAGACCCAGAGGAACCACCAGAAGGGCCAGAGTTGAGAGAGACTTGCCTGGAAAGGGTGCTTCCAGTACAGAGGCTTCGGGGTTACCGCCGGGGAGAGCAGGGTAGCACTCCAGCTGGAACACTGCCCTGCCGGGGCTGTGTGTGGCATGTACTGTTTGGATTATACTTGGGGAAATCTGGAATGTCTGTGTGGGACTCTTGTTCTGTTGGATGTGCAGGGAATTCTTGTAAGAAGGGCTATGCTTATACACAGGAAGATACTTTGGAGTACATCCGGGGAGCTTGAAGAAGGGAAACTGAGGCAGGCATGTGCACTTTGCTGCAAGGAGGCACTCTAGTTGGGTCTTTCCTAGCTGCTGAGGGAGTTGAGGATAAATATGCTAAGGTATGAGAGCTGCTTGGACACTGTTATAACAGCGGACAAAGTACCTAAGCTAGGCAGACACACGAACCCAAGGCAACCTGCATAAGGCTGTGTATGAGCTAGCTAGGTCTAAGTGACCGCTTGAGATCCACCCCATTCTGACATTTCTAGGAGTCTGTATAACTTGCTCCCCTGTGTTGTCCAACACATAATTCAGCACTTTGAATTAGGAATCATAAAATAAATCACTGGATTTTTTGTATTGCCTTGTGATTGCTAGATGGGACAGGAATCTTTGCAAAACCTACTCCTGACTCATGACCATTAAATCATGTCCAGTTAACAATACTGCAGAGAGGAAATTTCACTAGCATTAGCCATTCTGCTCAGCTGCTGGCTGCAGACCTTCAAGATGCTGTGTTTTAGTAACGATCAAAGCTCGAGGTTGAAGAGGGAAACAAGTTTGAGTCTCAAAAGCCCTCTCCCATTTTCTGCGCTATGTTTATACCCCGTCAGCTCTAGATAAACCCCAATGACAAGGATTAACTATGGCTGGGATTTGTCTTTGCTTTGAATTGACCGTTTCTCTCTGGAATGTCTCTCTTTGATATTTTCCAGCTGGCAGATGGACTATTTCCTGATGCTGCCGCGGAGGCTCAAAGTGCCTCTGCAGAAGGAGAGGGAGCTGCTGGCATTGGTGGCTGAGGCGGTTATGAAACCACTAACAGAAATAACTGAAAAAACAGTATGAATTAAACAATCCTCCATGCACACTGCTGGATCAGCCATGACACCCTTGCCATGAAACGTTCACCCCTTCGATTGGAAAGAAAAAACCTTTAACTAGTTTTTTTAGCGTCAATAAAGCCAATCACATGTAAGCTTTTAAATCCTCATTACTCTACTTTAATGATCAGAGCACTAGGCTACATAGATTTAATATTAAAACCATATTCAGGGAAAATTGGTGTCATAAAAATATGAAATATTAAGTTACCAGTCAAATATGTTTTAAATTGAATTGCTGTAGAAATATAATTCAGACCATATGCGTTTCATCAATGTCATTATTTATCTGCGAGGCTGTATCTTAGCTTTTTTTTCACTAGACCGCTGGGGTTTTTGTAAACTGAGAGTCCCTCTGATTTCCTTACAATATGGCCAGAAAAAACCCAAAAGATCAGTAAGGCATAATTTTGAATACAATAAATCCTACTGTGTCATCTGTGCATAATTTGTACAGATGACAATGCCTATTATATACATGTAGGAGGCTGGATGGAACTCAGAACTAAGCTGTTATCGCTGTTCGTTATTAATTTAAACTAATTTTTTATGATCAATTATTGTTTGTATTACAATAGCTCCAAGAAAGAGCAATTGAGAGCAGACACCTGTTGTGGCAGCCACCGTAGAAACAGGTAAGAAGAAGCCCTTCTCCTAACGAATATAACGTCTAAATAGACAAGGTGTGGGCAAGAAAACAAGCTGTTGGCCCAAGATCACACGGCAGGATAGTGACCGAGCCAGTAATAAACGTCAAGGCTCTTGAGTCCTAGGCAAATATCCTGCCCACTGGACTATACCTAATTAGCTGTTAATTATATTCTATGCACAGGCAAATCCTGAAGTCCTTACTTAGGCGTGCTCTACACTACAATGTTAGAGTGACTCAGGTATGTCTCTCAAGGGTGTGAAAAATCCACACCTCTGAGCAATATATATAAGCCGCCTCCGCTCCAGGGTAGATAGCATCACAGTGACCGAAGAATTCTTCAGAATGGGACCCCCTGCGAGTAGTGCCAGGGATGCGTTGACTATGTAGCCATACCCCAGCTGGATGGGGCAAAGGCTTGGCACCCAAAATTGTTCCGCGAGTTGCCTAGAAGCGAGTGGTGAGTTTTGGCCCAACCTCGCCCGACTGGGGGCTGCGGGCAGCATTTCCAAAGGGTAGTTGGCTCACCTTCCGGCAATCACGGTCTGTGGTTTGCCTGTAACTATAGCCTATATTTCTTCTTGAGCCGTTGCTCTGGGTCCCGTGTGGGCTGTGTGGTCCCGAGCTGGCTTCTTGCTCGTTTCTCTGCCCTCTGAAACGCCAGCATGCTAACAGAGAGATTTTGACAAGGGAGGGAGACAGAGAAATGGGCTCTCTGCCCAAATTCCCCGACACACCGCTGCAGTAGGAAACCAGACTCAGGATCGGAGTCAATCCATCTGGGATGGATGGACCCTGATCTGAAGTTATGGCGAATGCGAATTACTTGTAGCTAAGTCCGTTAACTCGTTACATAGTTTGTCCTCTCCCCGCCCACCCCCCAAATTAAGCCTGAAGGGAGCGGCGCAAAACTTGGTAGCAAGGGGGTGGCCAACGGTCAGGGCCGGCCCAGAACATTTTGGCACCTGGGGTGGGGAGCTCAAAAGACGCCCCCATGTCCCCTCGCTTGGGCCAAAACTTCGAAAGGTCTCAATTCTGCCTCCTTCCTGTTCTACTCCTCTGCTACCTACTCCAATAAAGGAGAACTAACAGCAGCAGACACAATTTTCTGCACTCTGGGTCCTAGTGGCAACCCCCCACAGTCTGGCACCTGAGGCGGCCTCCTCAGTTCACCTCATGGTAAGGCCGGCCCTGGCAACGGTAGAAGTAGGCCAGGGCAGCGGCTCCCCTCCAGGCATGGCTGACGTTTGCACTTTCTTTTACAATGGCCAAGCCCTGGTTGAGGTTGTGCAGAGGAGGGTGGTTCCCGCGTGGCAGTGCCCTCTGCCGGACATTTCAGCGCGCCACTGCGCACACCCGTGTCCGTCCACACGCTGCCCGTTGCTGGGGGGGCTGGCGACAGCTGCCACTGGTCTCCTGGCTTTTTGGAGGTCTCACTCCTGCTTGGCGTTGCAAGTGGTTCTCAGTGCAGCGCCCTGGCGGGAGGAGACGCCATCTTCCCCCCACTCCCACCCCGTAGACACTACCCCGGCTGACCACAGTGTGGTGAGGGGCCTTCCAGTCCAACCACGGGTCCGAGGTGGAAGTCCTCAGCCTCCCCAACCTGCCCCTGCCACGGGACCATCTTCTAGGGTGGCCGTCTGCCTCCCCACCACGGCACTCCTCTGCCTTGCTCCTCAGCCCACGGCGTCGCCTCTGCCCATCTCTGAGGGAGCATCAGGCCACCCCTTCCTGCCACTCTGGGTTTCTGGGAGAGCACCCGCCTGCCATGCCGACGAGGATCCCGCCTCCGCCGGCGACAGGTCCAGGTGTGCACAGCGCATTCAGTCAGGCACACGGCCCATCCCCTTCAGGGTATTCTGCAAATTCACCTCCCATCCCAGAGCACCCGCCTCTCCCCCACAGAGAGCCGTGCCCGGGGGCCAGATGGCTTCCTGCCGGCTACGAACCGAGGGAGACTCAGCCGACGACGCAAGCTGGTAAGCGTACGGCGTCAATGACACGCCAGAAACTGGTGCCACACTCAGACAGCAGAATGTTGGCCATTTGGGTGAGGGGCTAAAACCTGCTCCTTCTAGGCACCGTGTGTCTGACTGGAGGATCTTGCTTTCCAGCAAGGGAGCCAAACGCGGCTCTCATTTACAGAGGTACAACACTGGAGTGACTCCGTTGACTGCAAGGCAAGAACATGATACTGCTCCAGTAAATGGAAACACTCACAGTAGCTTGAAATGGGGCAAGGCCGAGCCCCAAACTAAGCAGCCTAACTAATCAACTAATCCAAACTAAGCAACCGGACAGACAGTTCTAAGGGGTGCCCTGCTTGCAAAGCAGTCCTGGCTTGGATTGCCTGGAGTACCCACACTGGGCACATCACACCATTCGGCCATCAGCCCGGCTGCACTTGCCGCAGGCTGCCATCTGGGGAGAGGGGGTAATCGGGGGGCTGCAGGAGAGCTTCCACCCCCACAGAGCCAGCCCAGTCCTCCCCATCGGGGGCTCGTACCCCATTCCTCCCTCACCTCCTTCCACTTACCCTTCCCTAGGCCTCCTTCTTATTGATGCACAAAATAAAGATAACGTTTCTTCCAACATTGACTCTGTCTTTATTGAACAAAACTGGGGGAGACTGGGAAAAGGAGGTGGGAGAGGGGAAGAGAAAGGCTGGGAGAGGGGAGGGCAACTAACATGATCAGGGGTTGGGAACAGGTCCCAGATGAAGAGAGGCTACAGAGACTGGGACTGTTCAGTTTAGAAAAGAGGAGATGGAGGGGGGACAGGATAGAGGTCTCTAAAAGCAGGGGTTGGGTGGAGAGGGTGCATTCATAAAAGTTCTTCCTGAGTTCCCATAAAGAAGGACTAGAGGACACCAAAGGAAAGGAATGGGTATCAGGCTTGAAACTAGTAAGAGAACGTTGTTGTTGTTGACAAAGCAAAGAGTTAACCTGTGGAACTCCTTGCTGCAGGAGGCTGTGAAGGCTACAACTAGAACAGAGTTGAAAGGGAAGTGAGATCAAGTCATGGAGGTTGGGTCCATGGAGTCCTATTAGCCAGAGGGTAGGAGTGGTGTCCCTGCCCAAAGTTTGTGGAAGGCTGGAGAGGGATGGCACGAGACAAATGGCTTGGTCACTGTCTT